AGTCTCTCCTAAATACTAAGAGAGAGAGAGAGAGAGAGAGAGAGAGAGAGAGAGAGAGAGAGAGAGAGAGAGAGAGAGAGAGAGAGAGAGAGAGAGAGAGAGCTACTGACGCCTAGGCCAGTCTCTCCTAAATACTACTGGACCAGCCACCAACCAGGCCGGCCTCCCATCATGGTCCTCTTACAAGTCTACGACCCCTGTAATTGGCAGATTTGTCCCTCTGTCATTTTGGACCCGGAGTTGCCCTCTTCAGCTCCACCTGTTCAGCGGGGTTACGTTCAAACCCAAACCTCACCTGGCCGAGGTACTTACGCTTGACAGTCAGCAGCACTCATCATTGATGCTATTGTGTGCTCAGTCGAGTCCAGCTAAGTCGATCTCTCTCCTTGTCCTCCCTATCTCCCACTCTCTGGTCCATAACTCCTGCTGTGTCGAGTTCAAAGTGAGAGTCTAGCCTCTCGTCCCCTGCGTAACCTCTCTGCATCAGCCCTGTTGCAGTTCATGGGATTGATTCACTTATGGGGCGTTCTAGCATGTTCTGGATCAATACAAGATATCACGGGTGGTGCTTGCAAACGGGATGAACACTGAACTACTTTGTTTAAGACATGAACCAAAAGAAACATTGCTTCCAGAGCACCTTCAACATTCACCTTACGATTCGTCGCAATCGCCAGGTGTGCCGAATTCAGAGAGTTGATGCAGACAGCCTGTTCTTGACAGTCAGAGACACAAACCACACAGACAATGTGGCCACCACAATATATCAGTCATTTACAACATAGCCGCGCATGTCCCAAACTCGGCTTTCTTTTCCAGCATTCTGCTCCGAGGTAAGGTCTCCAAGGCAGCTATAGAGCACACAAAAACAACAAGAAGGTCAAGAACATCATAAACTTTTAGAGACATCGAAATTTCAAAAATAATCGAATCTATTGAGCTCTTTTTTGTTTTTTTTGTTTTTTTTTGGATTTTTTCAACATGCTTGGTGTAGAAGGGCCCTTAGTTTTTTTTTTTTTTTTTGGTCTTTGCTTCTACGGCTGTTTGACATTCCTGGTGGACGAGGTGGAGGGGGGACGCAAGGAGGATGGGCAGAGGATAGATGGAGGAGCAATGGGGAGTTATAGTAGGAGGACCAGGAGGACAATGAAGGAGAGTACTGCAAGGAACATGAGTATGGACGAAGCACAGAAATCCAGAATGCAAAATCACACTGAAGTCCAAGTATTCAAAGCCAAAGCAGATAACACATGGAACCGAGTAACCATCCAATTGAGAATGATACAGAAGAATCGTGAGTCAATGTCCATGCCCAACAGGGCAACACCAACAGCATAACCCAAATGTAGCTCTCTCTTGTGAATGGCGCCAGGCGCCCTATCTACTCTACAGCCTATCCTACAACTACAGCAATGAACAGCAACCDGACAACTTGACTACCAGYGAGTGATGWTGTCAACACCAATGCAGACSTCCACCATCACCAGGTACGTGTCATCTTCCCCACACTCTCCCTTGTTACCCACACAGTGCCCTTCACCTCCGAAGTACCACCTTCGCCCTCACCTCCCCTGCACCCTCTTGCGGCCCATGCTATGGCCGCCAGTGCCCTCAGTGCAGGCAGCGCCCTACAGCCTAGCGCTGGCCTGCTTGCTCTTAGCGCAGCACTGCCTTGCACAGCGCAGCACACATGCATCCCCGCAGCGTGCCCGCGTATGCCAGCATTGGCCAAGATCCCTGCTGCCTCGCCCTGCTTGCCTATATGCCAATGCAGCATGTGGGCGGCCTCCCTTCAGCCTGCGACCGGGACCCAGAGGCTGAAGCCTTCCTGATACAGTTGGGCCCCGGAGCAATGCAGTTGTGCCTCTCTTCTCAAGGCCTGCGGCCAGATTCAGATAGTGGGCCGATTTTCCCTTTGGCATTTCGGCCTCTCTACCCAGCATGCATTGTCGGCCTCACGTTCAAGTGCCCAGGGCCTAACTAACTCAGAGGCCCTGGGCATTTCAGCTTTTGCTGAAATCTGAGACTCGGTGCACTCCAACCAACTGGCGTGCTGCAACTGTATAGACCCCACTTCGTGAAATGTTGGCCGGGAGGGCTCTTGTTGATTTGCTGGCCCGCCTTCACTTAGGGCGGGCACTAGGCTTGCTGGGGCCTTAGCCCAGAACATGTACAACATGGCAAGGCCCCTTCTTGAGGGCTCAATCCTCACAGTACGGATGGAGGAGAAGAGATGGAGGGAGGAAAAGACATCTCTACTCTTTTTTGTCGTTCCCGTGGTCGTAGTATTACAAACCCCCATCTCCCTGCCATATCCCCTCTGCTGGAAATCGCTGGATATTGCGATCATGTTTTTTTTCTTTTCCCCGTTGTTTCCTGTTTCTGGACTCAGTGCTCGCCATATCTCCGTCTCCCTGCCATATCCCCCCCACCATCTCTCCTCCATGCCTCCACCTGTCCATCTTTCCTCCATCTCTCCTCCACCTCATCTCTCCTCCATGCCTCCACCTTCATCTATCCTCCATCCCTCCACCAGGTCCACCTTCATCTCTCCTCCATGCCTCCACCTTTCTCTTCCATCTGTCCATCTTTCCTCTATCTCTCTCCTCCATCTCTTGCCGTCTCCTCTCTCTCATCCAGCTCTCGCCCTCTTCCCTCCATCTCTCCTCATCTCCCGCCCTCTCCCCTCCATATCTTCCCGTCACATCCCCTCCACCTTCATCTCTCCTCCATGCATCCACCTTTCTCCCCCAACTCTTCATCTCTCCTCCATGCATCCATCTTTCTCCCCCAACTCTTCATCTCTCTTTCATGCATCCATCTTTCTCCCCCATATCTCCATACCCCTTTCTGCCATTTTTTTCTTTGTTGCTATTTCAATTTTTTCTTTTTTTTTCATCATCCACTAGATTTGGAGGCAGACTGCTGCTTTTTTTTTTACATTTGTCGGAACTTCATCCTGTTTGCCCAGCCATGTTGAAAGGAGGCGGTGGTTGCGGAGGAGTCTGTGGCAGGAGGGGGGAGGACACAGAGTCCGGTGTGGGTGAATTGGGGATGCAATGGGGAGTATGGCTGATTTGGTGGTCCTGCCCGTTCTTCATGTGTGCAGGTCACAATGACGAGCCGCATCGCCACTGAGATGGTCAAGCGACTTTTCACTCCCATTGCCCTGGTCAGAACTACCTGCCCCACGCACCGCATGAAATTTGATATTCTTGCAATGTCAAAGTTCGCTGTTGGAGTTCAAACTTCAAACTGCGAAGCTGAAGCCCGAAACTCAGTTGGAAGTTAAATATTTATTGTTCTTATCACTTCTTCGCCCCAACATCACAGGTAACACACCTCAGAACCCCTAAAAAAAAACACTCCGCACGGATCTGGTCTGTGAGGGTGCGGGCCGTGCGGAGATCAGGCACCCCCCCCACGGAACTCCGCACAGAACTCTGCACGAATGTGCTGATCGTGCGGTTGCAAGTATGAAAAATTCTGAAAAAAATATATGTGATAGAAGACATTATTCTGAACAAGTTTTCCTCAAATAAAAATTGAAATTCGCAACCAATTTTGAGATAAACGAAAAACGAAAAAAAAAAGAACAGAAAAAGCCATGGTTACCAACCGGACGTCCGGATCCCGATCCAAACAGTCCGGTGTCCGGGTCCAGTGTCCGGATCGGAGGGTCCAGTTGGACCCCGATTTCGAAAAATTCGAATTTTTTTTTGGGGTTCCCAGGCCGTTTACCCGGGTCTGGGGTACCCCGGAAAAATAATGCTGATGTTTTTTGAGAACCGGTACCCCAACCGGACAGGCCCTGAAAGGGCCTCTGTGTGATAACATTGGCACACGAGTTCACTGCTTTGCTCTTATTTGGATGGAATCTTGGCGAATTTGAGCTCTCTGCTTGGTACATGACTATCAGGACTTCTGCGTGATTTTGCAACTTGATTTTCTGTCTACCGCTCTCGCACATATTCCTTGCATTTTTGTGACGTGGGAGCAGGGTCTGGCTGATGGGAGGGGCGACCAGGGATGGGAGGGCGATGAAGGATGGGAGGGGCGAGCAGGGATTGGAGGGCAGTGACAAATGGGAGGGCGATGAAGGATGGGAGGGCGATGAAGGATGGGAGAGGCGAGCAGGAATGGGAGGGCAATGACGCCAGACAGAGATGAGCGACATTGGATACTGTGTTGGTGGGGCCTGAGGGCGATGACATTGGCACACGAGTTCACTGCTTTGCTCTTATTTGGATGGAATCTGGGTGCATTTGAGCTCTGTGCTCAGTGTTACAACCGGACACCGACACGGCAAACTGGACTGTCCGGGTCCGGATGTCCGGATGTCCAGTTTGATGTCCGGTTAACCAGACGTCCGGTTTGATCCAGACACGGGTCCGGTGTCCATGTCCGGTTGTCCGGGTCCGGAACAACCATGGAAAAAGCAGTTTTGTACGCGCGTACAAACTCATACAACAAAAATCATGCGTAGTACAAGGGGTGTACCACGCATGTTCGCGTACATCACAAACAAAGGGATGCCAAGGTGCAGATGAACCAGCAATGCGAACACATACAAGTGCATTCGACAGGAGAAAGCAGTAAGTACAGAGTTATCAAGACCAACCTCAAGAAGCTCGCCTGGCATTCTCCACACCTCCTTTATCTCACCAAATGACATCCAACGGTGATGGCTCTGTGCATTACCAAACTGGTCATCCGCTAATGTCGTGTTTCTTCCCCGCACACCAGCGCTACCACCTTCATGGCCATAGAAATGATTACTATCACCACCATGCTTGAAGAAGTTCCTATTCAGTAGGCCTCCAACGCCTCCAGAACCACCCATTCCAGCATGACCGCCTCGTGCTCCACCACTTCCACCCTCTCCTCCTCCCCCACCCCCACCACCACCAGAGTCCCTGCCCAATAGTGCAGCAGATAGACCTTCAAGCCCAAGCCTTCCCCGAAGGTTGTTCCGCTCCACAAGCAATTTCCATAATTCTCGACAAGCTTCATCTTTCGTTTCCAGCTGCGGGACAATTTCAGGAAACCTTTCCGGAGGGTATTGGCCTTTGTTTGGCAGGGCATTTTGTGAAACTCCTTCAAGCGCGGTACGCCCTGTGAGGCCCGATAATGCACCCAGGCCTGACCCGAGGCCCAATCCTGTGCCGGAAGACAGCACAGCAGGTAACATTGACAGTGCGGAAGTAAATGACGAATGCAGGGATGAAGTAGTAATACCAGCAAATGGAGAGCCCATACCATGCCTAACAAGAGGACCACTTGTGCTCTCCTGGGATGGAAAGTTCTGTGACATTTGGGACAACCCGACTGGTGCTTCACTCAGCAGCCATAACACCAGAGGCGTGAAATTGGGCATTCCCACAGACTCGCCCGCAGCACTTGCATCTTCATGAGCCACAATTATGGACTGCACTGGGCCAAAACAACCAACCCCCGCACCCAATGAGCAGCAGTCAAAACATATCAAGGCACACCCACATCAACAGAGACCACCACAGATGATTTCACATTGTCCAGACCAACCCAGAACACCTGAGCACCCCTGGGATCACTTGCCAGCCCACACATGCACAATAAATCCAGTTGTCAATGCTCAGCACTCACAATGCACTTGTAAGTTGTAATGACCTGCAAAATAGCAGACTGAGAAACCTACTGGTTTCTGACTATCGCTGCTTGTTTGACTGATTTGCTGACATTTCCATACCCTGCTGAGATTTCTGAGTGTGTGTTGTTAAAGCACCCCAAACTCTCTCTCATTTCCTCCACAAATCAGACAAAACATCCATCCATAACAAAAAGGTATAGATAAAAGGTATAGATACTAGATAGCTAATATAATAGAAAATGCAAGGTTGACCACATTTGTGTGGTTCAGCGCCAAGTGCCCACACACCCGTCTACCGCCGAAGCGGCACACTTGCACATATACATACATGCATATATTTATTTAGTCCATAAAAGGGTGGAGGGCAACAAGCAACTTACGTAAAACCGACTTCACCAGCAAGAAATCTCCAACCCCATACTCCAAAGATCCGAAAAACCTGGAGAGCCCTCGACGTCGGCCCACACAATAAAGATAAACGCAAAAGACAACATACCTAACCCAGAAGGCTTCACCAGCAAGAAAGCCCCGACCAGAGCCCACATAGTCCCAAAAAACTGGGAGAGCCCTCCGAGTCAGCCAACACACAAAGCAGCACTGGCACTCTACACACACCACCGCCATCTCTATCACTCCATGACTAATATGCCAAATTCCACGATCTTCGCACGACACCAGGAGAGCTACTGCTTAAAACACCCTAGAAGCTAACCCCATTCTTCCATGTGCTCCAAAAAAGCAGCCCGTGGGAGTGACACCCACAGCAAACACTCTCTGAGCCTCCTTGCAGACCGTGGGAGTGACACCCACAGCAAACACTCTCTGAGCCTCCTTGCAGAGGTTTTATGGACAAAATCCAAACACCCACCCCCAAAACAGCTCGTGGCCACCCACAAACACTGCTTCATCAACAAAACAGTCCATGCTGCAAAGCAGGGCAAAGAATTAGGCCATGTATAAAAACAAGCCCAACAAAACACATCCAATGTGTGTGTTTTAGATTTGCACCACAACAGCCCCTGTTCCACCGAGATGAGTAGATATAAAATCAAAGCAACTTTACCTCTATTACAGACAATGAAGCACTCTTGGGACGAGTGTTGCATACCGTATAGGTGCAGACCAGAACA